TGACCCTAATTGTCCTCTAGTGAGCCATAATCGTGTTTTCAATTTGATAACTATAAATTAAATATAGACTCTTACAGAATTATAAAATTATAAGTTGAGGTTTTAAAGTCAAACTTTGGACAAAAAAGAATACTATTTGATTGAATTAAAATTCCAAAAATTTAATATATATATTTTTTGGTCAATAGATAAGAAAGATTTATGACGCTATATATAGAATTCCTTAAAAAAAAGATTTAATATTCAGGTTGAACTCGACAAACCGAGACTTGCCTAAATTCAATTCGAGTTGAAATTTTTTTGTCCAGACCAAACCAAGTATTACAAATTTTTACCCAAACCCTTTTTTTTTCGGGTGGCCCGTTCAAGTTGCACCCCTAAATGGAAGGGGTGTTCAAATTTTCGATTACCCGAATATTCTGATCCTACTCGACCCTATCCTACTCTACTAATCGGCTACTGTAAAAAATCGGTACATCAACCGAAATTTTTTTGGGTATTTTGTAAAAATTGGGTAGTAATGCGGAATACCCATAAAAATTCTAAAGATGTGTGTGTGTGTGTGTTAAATTTTTAACATTTTAACACAATTAAAGTGTGCATAATCACAAATCATAAACACTATTAATATATTAAATTCTTAACAATTTAATAGTTTTAACATTATTGTGTTGGTTAATTGGTACATGTTACTTAATTGAATTGTCAAAATGATCTAAAAATTAATAACTAAAAAATATTGTGTTCACCTGATTTTTCACCCTACCCAATTGTTTTGAATGGAATTCAGGTAGAAATAGTACACTTGATCGAATAGGGTAGGCAAGATAAATCTCTTCCACAAAATATTGGGTAGGAATATGGAATACCATAATTCTTACCGTATCCAATGAATTGTCAAACTTTTGGACCTTCCCCTGAGCCATTAAAGTTTGTGAGATTTGACGAATGGTACATAGTCTCGCACTTTTAAGACAAAATGTCCAACCTTGACACTTTTAAAACGAGTGGTCTATAAAATACGTAGTAATAAAAATATCTTTAATGAATGAGGTTATCTAAAAACTTCTACCATATTTCATTCTTATATTTATTACAACTACCATTACTATCCCACCGCCATTCGCCGTCATCAATATCACCACTGTAGCCCACCACCATTGATAGTGAGTTCCACGACAATGAACTAAAAGCATTCTCCCCCTCTCTTTTTCTGAATCGATTGTTTGATACATAGAATTTAGATGAGATTTGATTGTGTTTTTATGAAATTTCTAAAAGATCTTTATTTATATTGACGAATTTCGGATGATCTTACTAATTCGATTTTGTAAACTAAAAATAGTGAACTTAAGACAATGAACTTAAACAGTCACTCTTTCTCTTTCTATGAATATGCGTTTTGTTATATATTGTGGACGGAAGAAGAGATGAATTTTTTAATTCACTATCTTTTAATTCATTGTCATTGAGTTTACTGTTTTTAGTTTATTGTCTGTGATGGTGGGTGGTGGTGATGGATTTCTATTGAAGAAGAGTAGATTTACCCACAAGAAAGACAATGGCTCGTTCGATTTCAGTTGGCAAAGTGCAAGATATTGGAGTAATATTGTTATATAAAAAAGAGAAAAAAATATTTTATATCGGAGTTATCGAACTGAAAGTGAATATTGTCAACTCCTTTGCTGATTCACCAGGCCGAAATGGGTGTAAACAAGGCTTTCTCATGCTCTATATCTACTGATCATCAGGTACTTCTTCTTGTATCTCAATTTAATTATCATTATTTTTAAAATGATGCTTTAAATTATGTTTTGTAGGATAACCAGCATACGAATGGCTGCCTTGTCACAAATTCAAACTTTGTCATTTATCATCAGTGAAAAATTTATCTTGTTTAGTCACTAAATAACACAAAAATAATATTTATAAGCAGCAATACGAGCAAAGACTTACAGTTCACTTTAAGCTTTTTATTTGCCTTTAATAAGTATACAAATTACAAAGTGAGCATACTCTTATTTTCTTTTGCCAATCTATCATCATAATATATGCAATACACACAAATTAAGTACAAAAATATGTTAATTAAAAAAGAAGTTTGGTATGCTTCTGCTTTTCTTCAAGTCACAAGTTACATTTATTGTTTTGACTTCTAAAGTATTGTAATGTGGCTAAGGGTCACTCTCGGCCTTCATTTACGATCGTGGCCGCACCACTTGGAACCATGAGATGTGGGTATGCTAGAGGAGGAGGAGGAGGAGACGTGATGTGAAGTGCAAAGTTCTTATTATTGATGCAAGGAGTACCAAGCTTGGGGATGTAGGTGCACCCATTTGACTATAGAGACTGTAACACGATATTTTTATTTTTCAACCAGTCTCTTTCTTCTCCATCTAGCAATCTGCAGGCTTGGTGTGGTTTCATGCTTAGAATGAAAACAATAGCCACAATGATTAAAACAACACTTCGAGCTTTCATCTTGTTGGCTAATTAAGCAAAAAATGAAATAAAAGTATGGTGAATAAATAAAATGCAAAGAGATGCTATATTTATACACATCAAGTCATCTAAATGTATGACTTAAGTTTTTCATGTTATAAGATTGCTGGAAGGGTTTTGAATATTGACGGAGAGGTTTGACAAGAAAAATAAAATTTGAATGGATCAAAAATGAAGAAAATAACTAGGTTTATATTCAATATTAAAAGCCTTCAATATGCATATTTCTTCACCATCTAAATGAATACGTTTTCCAGGAAAATCACTCTAGCATGCAATCTTGGCATATCAAAAAATGAGTAAACTCTTCCGGTTGATCGTCGGTAATCCAAGGTACTTCAAGTGGTAATAAAAACAAGCTGTAAATTCAGACATCTTGAATTCGAATATTGACAGACGCTTGAGCTCAGGCTATAAGAATTTTATTCTTTATGAATACCTTCATTTAGTATGAATGGTCACCTTTTAACTGAATTGAAGAGGTGATTAGTCGAAGTTGATCCGAATACCTCTGATTGTTAAACAAAAAAAAAAAAAAAAAAAAGAAGATGGCAATCAGTCATGAATGCTTTAAGTAATTGTACCTTCACTTTTAAAAAATATATTTTGATCTTAAAAAGTGGTAATTTTTGGTATGATCTCCTTTTCTTTCAACTAAATTCACCACAAATAGAACTCTGAAAAATTATAAATTTGCTCAACATAACTCTAAGAGAATATTAAATAAAAAATATTTAATTTTATAATGATTTATACAATTATAAATAAAGAAATAAATCAAATATTTTCTTACAATGCTAATAAAACATAATATTGTTCTCATGTGATTTTGTTTTGTTTGGAAGCAAAGGAGGAGTAGGAATGCGTTTACCAAATACTCCGTTTACCAGGCCTTTGAATGCGTTGAGAGTTTAATCGCAGAGATTATGTTTGCCCAAGCAGCTGCGGACGATGGCAAGGACTTCAATTCAATAACGCGGATATGGCTGCTACCTCTTGTCTAACCCTTTTCCCTCTTGTACACGTTCATCCACAACACTTACCTACTGCTGTCCCTTGTGTGATGTGAAAGAGTAGGACTGAAATATATTTTTTGACATCGTATCTCTATTTTTTGTCAATGAAAACGGGTCATATGTGTGCAGACATGTCAATAAATCGAATTTTGATTCGAACTCGAATCCAATTAACCGGATATAGATTAAAACTGCACCAAATCACTTAACCCCAACCAGAAGCTATAAGAAGGGACTAATCCTTTCTCCAAAGTTATTTTTTTTCTTTGTGTGTGTGAGACGCATCAGTTCATCCGAAGAATGAGCATGGCCGGAGTCACATGGGGATCAGGGTGGGCACTTGCCCCCCTTATATTTGGACCATCTTGGATGAGGACCCATAAAATTATTTTATACATCATATTTGCCCCTCCCCCTAAATTTTTGAAAAATTTTAATAACGGCTCTAGTCTTTTCTTTTTTCAATAAATTAGTGGTCCAATAATCTTTTTAAATAAATTTGTTAGTTTTGGATTGAATCAATCAGATGTAACTATCTTGATCTATTTGTATATTGAGGGAAATACAATAATTTTCTTTATCTCGTACAATGTTCATTATTTTTTAAGAACAATTTTTAGTTTTTATTTACCCATTTTTTAGTAATAGTAGTTTATAACCTAATAAAATACGATTGTATATAAAAGACAAAATGTTGTAACCAAAAATATTTCAAGTTATTTCAAATAAGGAATTTATTTATAAGATCAACAACAATCAACTAAATTTTGTAACTACATAAAAAATAATTTTACTACGGATTTGTGATTGCGTGCATTGATAGAAAATTAGTGAAAAATTAATTTATATTTAATTCATATATAAAATTTTAGAGATTCTAAAAAAATTTATATTTTATTAAAATATATAATTTGGTTAAAATATACTAAAAAAATTATTTTTTCTTTTTATTAGGATTTTGTTTCGGCTAAATAAAATTAAATTTACTATTTCACAATAATTTTATCATGATTCTTACTTTTTTTGTCATTCTTGAACTGAATTTTTTGTATCAATTTCAACTAAATATTTTGTTGTATCAGTTATATTTTACCCCCTCATAGATATTCTTGATTCTGCATCTAAGAATAAGCAACTCATAACTTGGCCATATGACTGACCCTAATTGCCCTCTGTTGAGCCATAATCGAATTTTCAATTTGATTTTTATATTAAATATAGACTCTTATGGAATTATAAAATTATAAGTTGAGGTTTTAAAGTCAAACTTTGGACAAAAAATTAATAACACTATTCGACTGAACTAAAATTCTAAAAGTTTAATATTTTTTTCTTCAAGAGATATGAAAGATTTAGGACAACCTGGGCCTATTTGAAGTTGATTTTTTTGGATGTGAAATAGAAGTTTGGAAAGCTTCGTGGAAAAATCTTAAGTTAAAAAAGTTCTTGAAACCATTCGAAATGTTCTTGGGAAAATTATTTTTTTTGTTGGATAAGCCTGATTTATCAGCTTTCTTTGGTACAGATAGAAGCTGTTTTGACTGAATATACGCCCAATAAACTTGGGTCTAAACGATCCAATCTTCTTTTTCTCTAAATTCAACAAAAATTGAAGTTTTCAGCCCCCAAACTTTAAATAACCTAAATGGTATTGGCTTAAATAATTCAATATCGAGTGAAAAACTTTGTATTTTTCTAGGCTGATTTACCTACCCAAAAAAAGGCCCATGGCCTTAACTATGTTTCTCCTTGTAGTGGGTTGGACTGAGACGTGGCCCAACGGATTGTCGAGCTTTCAATCCTTCCCGTGAGTCATTAACATTTTGTTTGAGTCTTAATGTCAATTGACTATTAGAATTTGATTCAAAATCTGTAATTTTCATGAATGATAGTTTGTTGGGTATTCAATGTGAGAATCATAAATGAAATAAGAAAATATATTAGAAGAGTCTTAATAAACTATGGATAGTTATATTAATGGCAACATAGAGATCTAACCAATGTTATCAAAACTAGATTGATCATCGAACCTGTAGGGGGATTGGGTCAATGCTTCACTAAATCAACTGATCGGACCAATCGTATAATTAAAAATAAAGAAATATTATAAAAATTATAAAATATAATAATTTAACTAATAATTATAAAGCATAAGAGTTATAAATCATAATTGTGAGTCGGGGACTCTAAGTGAGTGTGTGTATATGTGAGAAAGAGAGAGAGAAGAATGACTTGGTTAAATTCAATGAACAATCCATTTTGATCCAAAGAGGCAAAGACAACTAAGAAAGACAAAGAGCCAAAACACCACTAGACTGAAGGAAGACGAACACCATTGGACCGAGCTAGTTGTTCGTCCTCGGAAAAGAGGAGGACCGAAGGAAGATGAAGACCATTGGAATCCCAACCGTTTGGTTCACTAAGTTGCAAATCTGCAATTTATTTAGGACAAAAATGGCCCAAAAAAAGGTTTTTTTAAATTTTTTTTTATATAAGATTTGCATTTTCAGCTGTCTAGTTTGAACAAACCATCTGGTTCATAGTAGTTTGGTCAAAAACTGGTTGATTCAACAGTTGTCAGACATTTTGCTTCCTTATGCAGTCTAACTACAGAATCAGACCATTTTAGGTCCCAGTTCACAGTTCAACCGGTCCGGCCGACTGGTTAGGTGAAGTTTTGATTGATGATGTACAAATTGAGTTTGCACACCACCTGTCAAGTATGAGTAATAAATGCAATAATTAAAGTAGAGAGAAAACAAGAATTATAGTAGTTCGATCAAAGTGACTTATATCCACTTTTGAATGGCAAGAGTCGCCGGGTATTTTATTAACTCAAATGTGCAAGGAGAGCAAAAAGCTACAAGTTGCGAGAGAAAGGAAAGAGTTGTGCTCAACAAAGTGTGATGCCCCCCAAGTGTTAACGAGGCTTACAATTTATAATCGTCCCCTAACAGATTTGGGCGACTTAATAACAACTACAAAACTATTCTAGTAGAGTTGGCGACTTCTTCTCAACGGGCGAGTCGGTTGAGGTGCTCTCCATGAGACTCCGTCAAAGGATGACTAGGGTATTGACTATTTTCAAGGTGGTATGGATGAGCTTTTAGATGAACCTTCGTGATCCTCTACTGCTATAACAACTAGAACCTAATGAGCTTGACCGGGTGCAAATTCCATTGGACTTGGCTAGCTGGACCTCTTGGAGTTGGGCACTTGGTCTTGTAACATGAGTTGAGACCTTGGGCTTGGCCCATCATTTGCCCCAATGCCCTGTGTCCAATGGAACTTGGAGAGGAGAGCATTCGGTTGAGTTTGATTATTCAGCTGACTGGCACAACTTGAAAAACTTTGGGAGGCCCAAACATTTGTTTCTAGGCCTTTTTTGAACTTTTAACAATATCACTCATAACCAAAGGCTGTGTGTTTTGTAGATCTCATCGAAAGTTTCAATTTGATATATAATAAGCCTCATTTAGAGTCACAGAGCAAAATTTATGGTCGAAATAGCGAGCAGGGAGCTGGGCACGCAATTTGGGCGAGCTGCTACTGTTCTGGGCGAGCAGAAGCTGAAATTTTTATTTTTATTTATAAAAAAAATCTTCAAGAGGCCAAAACATTTGTTTCTCGGCCTTTTTTGGACTTTTTACAGCGTCCTTCACTGCCTTGGGTAGTGTGTTTTGTAGGGTTCGTCGAGATCTTCGATTTAATATATAATGAGCCCCGTTTGGAGTTACTGTCAAAATAGCGAGCATCCTTTTTTAAATCCGAATTTTTTGAAAACTCCTCTTGATCGGTGACCCTCTCCCTTCCAGTAAACTTGTTTTGCTTGTGGGACACCATTGGTTATATAAACTCTTTCATTTACTTCCATTATTATTTCCTTTTGGATTCTAGGGCATGACCGAAGGAGAAGGCAGAGCTTGTGCTCTGCAGGAAGCTAGTAAGACAAGGGTCACCGTAGGGCATGGTAGTGTTGGCGAGGCTCAGGAGGCCGAGCAGCTGGGTAAACAGTTAGGCAAGATGAGGGAGGAGACCAGGGAAGCGGGTGCGCTGGGGCAAGCACCGTTGGGTCACGCAAAGAAAGCAAGCTCTGGGCGTGGCTAGGGCTAGCATTGTAGAGGTCAGGCGAGCAGCCTGGGCATTGGGCACCCATGCTTAGGTGTTTGGAGGTGAGCCTGGTGTTGGTGGGCAAGCTGGCTGTGTACGCAAGAGAGTGGTTGCGTTGTCTGGGCACACAGGAGGAGCTGTTGCGCTGACTGGGCATGCAGGAAAGGCTGCTGCGCTAGGTGAGCATGCCGAGGCGTTGGGCATGGCACAATTAGCCATGGGGGTTACTTGGCGTAGTCAGACCTTATTTGCACCAGGTGTTAAGCATTGGAGAGTTGCGGCAACGAGGCGGCAGTGACGGATAGACACAAAAAGATTGAGGCCCAATTGTTGACATTTAATCTAATGTAGTCCTAGACAGCTTGAGTTTCAAAAGTGTGCCTAAAAATGACAAAAATAATGTTATTCTAAACATTAAAATATCTAGCATAATTACTTGCAGAGAGAGGTAGGTTGCTTGCGCGAGAGCAAAGACAGAGTTTGAGGATTGCTCGTGAGAGAGCTACACTTTTTGAGCCCGAAATTAACTGGGCTAGACCCAATTAATCAAGAAAGGCCGACGATACCTCAGAGCCCAAGACAACAAGTCAAGGAGGAGCCCAAGTCAAGGAGGAGTCCAAGGGGAACACCCTCAAGGGGCTACCCCAAAGGGGCGCCGCCCAAGGGGGGCCACCCCAAGGGGATCCTTCCCTCCTTTGTCCCTTGCTCCTTCTCCTGCCCAGCTTCTTGGAGTCTTTTGCCCTCTTGACTCTGTCATTCTAATTCAAGTATAGCACCCAACAACTCAAGTCCAAGCCCAGGATCCTCCTCCGATTTAATAGGAGCACGAGGGAGAGAAAATTGGGATACGCAAGAAGATCTAATCTTATCTTGATTGAACTTACCAAAATAGTAGAAGTCCTCTCCCTCACGTCACCGCCTCACCGCCATACTAAACCTATATAATGTAAGCTCTCTCCACAAGGAGAGACACATTGACATGACCTTGTGACCCCTACAACCATCACTTCTCTCTCTCTCCTAAAAGCATTGTAATACTCCCAGAGTTACTCTCCCAATGATATTATTCATCAATAAAGATTTTCGGCCACCGCTGCTGCTCCAGAGAGTGGAGTAGGTCACACAGACCAAACCACTATAAATTTTGGTGTTGATTCCCTTATTTAGTGTTTTGTTATTGATTGCCTATTTACTACTAATTAATTATTTTTCTTGATATACTCGACTGTTGATTTTGTACAATATTAATTTGTGCATCATCACTGATAACACTGGATCTGACAGTATCCAAATTGTATTGGTTGACAATATTTTATCCCTATAAATAAGATTGAGTATTATCTAATTAGTCATCAAATGTCCAGTTTTGTAGTAAATAATACATCAATGTATGTTTTTGGTCCGTGGATGTAGGTATTTTGTATTGAACCACGTTATATCTTTATGCCATATTTTTATTATTTTTTTAATATTTATCTTGTCTTCTAACTTATGCTATTAGTATTAATTATCCGTTGTGTAAAACTAACAAGTGATATCAGAGCTAGATTGATGATCATGGTAGAACAATCAGAGTTAGATTGATGATCCTTGTGCAACAATCAAAATAACTTATTGGTGATCTAATGATCAAGTTGGCGTTCATGTTGAAGAAGACTCATTTGACGTGTGTGTGTGACATGGTATGAAGATTGATTTTGTCATGCGTACGTTAAGGATGTAATCTTGAAAATTTAGTAGATGCATATTTTTGTTTGGATCCACAAGAAAAAATTTATAGTTGATATGAAACTAAACGAAAGATTAAGTTGCTTCCAAATTGTTTGAATTTCAAGAGTTATCACCGTGTTGTGTTGAAGATATTTCTTCATGATTTTAGGCTCTTAGAGTTAAAGTCACAGTATTCCAATGGTTTAAGATCTATTGAGTCAACATAAAACCAACAGTGACAATAAATCCTATGTATGACCATTTTTGTAGTTTACAGTGCACAAAAAAAAAAGCAAACTGAAGGTAATTATCATTATTTTTAATACGATCTTTTAAATTATGTTTTTTAAGATAACCAACATACGAATGGAAGCCTTAGACACAAATTCAAATTTTATAATTTATCAGCGGTGAAAAATATATCTTATTTAGTCACCAAATAACACAAAAATAATATTTTGTAAGTAGAAATATGAGGAAAGACTTATTGTTCACTTTAAGCTTTATATATTTGTCTTTAATAAGTATACAAATTACAAAGAGAGCATCCTCTTATTCTCTTTTTGTCAATCTATCATCCTAATATATGCAATACACAAATTAAATATAAACATATGTAAATTAAAAAACAAAAGAGTTTGGTCGGCTTTTGCTTTCCTTAACCTCACAAGTAACTTTACTGTTATGACTTCTTAAGTATTGTCATGTTGTTAATGGTCACCGTCGGCCTTCACTTACGACCAGTGGCCGCACCACTTGGAACCATGAGTTGTGGGTATGCTGGAGGAGGAGACATGGTGTGACGCACAAAGTTCTTATTGTTGAGCTTGCAAGGAGTACCACCAGGCGTGGGGATGTAGGTGCACCCATTTGGACCTCCGGACTGCAGAGACTGTACCACGAGATTTTTGTTTTTTAACCAATCTCCTTCTTCTCCATCTAGCAATCTGCAGGCTTGATATGGTTTGATGCTTAGAAGGAAAACAATTGCCACAATGGCTAAAACAATACTTGGAGCTTTCATCTTGTTGGCGTATTGAGCAAAGAATGAAATAAAAGTAAGTTGAATAAATAAAATGCAAAGAGATGCTATATTTATACACATCAAGTCATCAAAATGTATGACTTGAATTTTTCATGTTATAAGATTGATGGAAGGGCTTTGAACATTGACGGAGAGTTTGACAAGAAAATAAAAATTGAATGGGTCAAAAATGAAGAAAATAACTAGGTTTACATTCAATATTAAAAGCCTTCAATATCCATATTTTTCACCTTCTACTTTTTCCATGAAAATCACGCTAGAATGCAATCTAGGCACATCAAAAAATGAGAAAACTTTTTCGGTTGATCGTGCTTCGTAATCTCAAGAGATAGTTTAAGTGGTAACAAGGACGAGTTATAAACCTAGATGTCTTGAATTTAAATCTTGTCAATCCCTTCAGGCTAGGTCATAAGGAATTTATCTCTCATGAAGATCCTAGTCCCGACATGAATGACTTATCTTTGATTGAATTAGGAAAGAGATTAGTCGATACACTTTGAAGCTGACACGCCTGAGTGTTGAATCAAAAAAAACACAAAAAAAAAAAAGAAAAAAGATTGTGATCCGTCGTGATTACTTTAAGAAATTATACCTTCACTTTAAAAAAATATATTTTGATCTTAATAAGTGGTAATTTTTGGTATGATCTCTCCTTGTCTTTCAACTAAAGTCACCACACATAGAACTCCTAAAAATTATAAATCTAATCGACATAAGTCCAATAGAAAATAAAATAAAAAAATATTTAATTACATAATAATTCATACAAAAATAAATAAATCAATCAATCAAATGATTTCTTACAATGTTAATAAAATATGTTTATCATGTCAATCAAAATTAAATTATTCATGTTGGGATCTATTATTGTCAAATGACTGGGACTTGTTTTTTCTTCTTTTTTTTTGTCTCCTCATGTGATTTTGTTTTGTTTGGAAGCGAAGGAGGAGTAGGAATACGTTTACCAAAAAAAGTAGTCCTTTGAATGCTTAATTAATTCTTCTGTCTCGGCCAAAAAAAGTATCCCTCTTCGACACGTTCATCCACAACACTTATCTACTGCTGAGTTCAGTGTGATGTGAAAGAAGAGTCTTTCGGGACCGAAATATACTTTCCGTATTTATATATTTTTGTATTACTATTATAAAAATTAGGTGGTTATTTGAATAAATTTAGTTCAAGTTTAGATGTAATTTGTTAAAATTTAGTTAAATTAAGTTACTCAAATTAGATTGGATTTCAAATTATTAAAGAATTTGGATATGAAGCACGAAAATAAAATTCATTAAATTATCAGATCCGATTCATAAAAAATATCTTTAGTTATTTGTAAACAATAAGTTGGGAGCCCATTGTATGACATAGATGTATTCAATTTTTTAGAATATATAATGTCAAGCATCGAAATATCGCATTGGTGTGTTGAAAAAAAAAATTCAAAGTTTCGAAAGAAACATCAATGGATAAATGATGAGCCAATTCCTAACCAATTTCGAACGTATTAGGCCCAACTAATCAAGTAAGCTCAAATCAGCTAAAAAACGGGGCAAGTCTGTTTAATCAATTCGACCTAACCCAAGGTCTAGTTCAAGAAGAATAGAGCACGTGGAGGGTAATCATCGGGATACCCACTTTAAAAGACCAAGACTATTTTAATTGTACTTACCTTTTGTAGTTATCCTCTTCGATAAACTAGTATATTTATCATCACGTCACCGCCTCACCTAAGGGCTTCATGCCTATAAATTGTAAGCTCTCTCCATTGAGAGGGGTACCTCCCTACATCTATACACACCTCTCACATAACTTTTCTCTCTCTTAGCTATTGTACCTCGCCCGGAGCACACCTCTCCCAGAGCTCTCTCTCCCCTTACCTTATTTATTAATAAAGGCTCACCATCCACCGTTGCCACTTTCGGATTGGAGTAGGTCACCCGAACCGAACTAATACATATCTGTGTGTTGACCAAATATTTACGTTATTATCATTAATTACTCTAATAATTGTTCATTAATTACATTTTATCACACACTCGACTGTTGACCTTGCACGAGACTATTTTGTGCATCATCAGGTGTTAACCCAATAAACATGCTCAATCAATTAATTATTAAGATTTTTTTATAAATAAAATAATTTTATATATGTTTCCACGTGTTTCTAAATGTTTTTATATTTTTTCTCTATTTCCATTTCATTTTCGAGCTGACTAAAACGATATTTCGATACTTGTTTAATATA